ACCTGACCGTGAAACCTCGATCGCAATCAAACGACCGCTTGTCTGTTTTGGGTTCTTTTAAGTCTTGACGACAGTTGATCGCTGCGAGGTCATTACCCAATTCGAGGGCCTTTAACTATATCCATGACATTGGCTGTCTGGGATGCATGGTCATGTCGGTAATCTTTATTTGCGTTCTACAAAAGTCACGTGATCGTAAAGGAGACAAGTAAATGCTAACCTTCATTTCTTGTATGTAATTTCATGAGGATACTTAATGCATCTGACGTGTAAATATGATTTCATAGGACCCTACTGGAGCTCTTTTACACCTTGAGACACTCGGGGTATACACGTGGCTCTGCCCCCCCCCCCCCCCGACCTGAATGTAAGCGAGCAGCTTGCCCCTGCCTGTTCTACTATGACTGATATACCTAGCGGTTGATATGCAGTGGTAAAGCCAGTATGCCCCAAGAGTCGCATTTTGGGGCGCTTTCAAACGTTAAAAAGTGCGTCGAAAATACATTTTTTCGGCTTTTATTTTGGATTTTTCCGTTGTAATAATATTCAGAATGGTCCTGTTTTGTTTAACACCCGCCTAGGTGGCTGGTTCAGTGCCTTTTGCCTGGGTGGTGGCTCAATTTCACCCCACCCTGAAATTTAGGAATCTAAGAAACTCAAGAGACATCAAATACACAGGGTAGGTTAGTCTAAATGGGAATTCACTTGTATCAAAATTTGAGGCTCTTAGGCCATGATTTTCCAATGGGCCTTCATGCAACTACCTTGAACATATATGCTTGTACTAAGCGAAAGGTCACTGTGTTTCTTTAACGTCAGTGCTCCTTTTGACCTAAACAAAATCGTGATGACCAAAGTCCTGCATTTTGATTTTGTGTTTGAATATGTGTCAAAGCTTGCGTTAGGCAATACGCTCCCAAACATACTATATGTTAACCTGGGTCTTTTTAGGTTAGTGACCTATTCAGGCTTTAAAGAAGCCCGTGGAAGGTGTCTATTATGATCCCTACTATCAATAATCTCCAAATGGGCGCCAGGAGCCACCTCATACAGCAATCTCTCGAATGAAAAAGGTGCTTGGCTTAGACCTTTGTCCGAACTTCATGTCTAACTTTTGGTCAATGTTAGTTGTTGTCATCATAAAATAAATTTTGTCATTGCATACGAAAATCTTAAAGTGATGTATGGCTTCGTCTAACACTCTGTTGTTCCATTACATTGGGCGATTCCCTAAAAGTTGCATTCGCTGACAGCCACGGCCTGCCTTGACCTGCCACAGGTCAGTGACCTTTCAAGGTACATCTAATTGTTTACCAAAAAATAAATTGCTTACAGCTACGCAAAGGTTGTCGCGGCTACGCCGTGCCGTCCGAAAATCATTTTGAAAATAACCCTCAGGGAAGAGGAGAGGCAAATTGACCTTCCACCCGAGCGCGTGTTAAGACCTTTGCATGTTTTAGTAAACCAGTTATGCGTGGTCCGGCGTGACAATAGTTGGCGTTGTTTACCTAACACACCATTGCCCATCCCTGCACTTGTCACGTGACATCAGCTGAAGTGCTTTCTAAATCAACAACAAATGGTGGTGAAAGCGTATGACATCGGTGAGGTGTCCAAAACCAAGGTTGTGCATATCTAAAAATGAGCTGCTTCATTTAAGCAAAGTGAAACAAAAATGTGGGATGATTTCAAATGGTCCAAATGAAAGCATGGAAATAGAATACCAAACAATGGTACAAATGCTGTACAAAATGGATATCAATAAGGAGAGTAGATTTTGAATCAGTCATCAATATCAGTGACCACGACATGCATTTATGGTAAAGGAATGGTTAAATGTCACTGTTTTATTCGTGATACAATGTCACATAATCTACTTAAAGTAAGCGCCTAGTTTTTGTGGGAAAGAAGTGAGTGTTAAGCAAGCAGTTGAGTCGCTATCAGTGGTGTATATCGAGTGCACCCGTGTTGGAAATGTGGCAAAGGCTCAGCGTCCAATGCCTTCAACAGATGATAACCTGACGCACCGACCTCTTAATTAGTGTGGGATGGCGAAAAAGACGCTTTTCGCCAGCGATCCGGAAACCATGGGTGGCCTGTTGCACTGGTGCAAAGCATGATCCCACAATAAGGGGCAAGGGTGGTTTTGACGCATTTACAGAGTGAACAGGCATGGTAAGTGCGGAATTTTTCCCCTGAGAAAAAGCTCCAACATTGCTGACATTTCCCACTGAACATAAGTCTGCACAGGAGGTCTCGTCGCCCCAGTGACGGCCAACGCAAGCAGACGCCAGCTGACTGGTCGGTCAGCTGGCGCGCCTGAGCCGGCTGCCCGCCGGCGCCGGGTGTCGCGGCTGATGTGGTCTGCCGGCCCGTTAGGCGGGGGCGCGCCTCCCAGTCCCGGCGGAAGCCCTGCTGCTCCTGGGCCCCGCTCTCCGGCAGTGGTCACGGCCGACACGGCTGCGCAACGGTCACGCAGCCGCGCCGGTCGCTCGGTTCAGCTGAAATGAGCTTCAGGCGGAGCCATCGGAGAGATGGGACATAGGACTGGAGGACGCTCGCTGACAGAGCCTCCTGTTGGGGCTGCCAGGGAGCACATCGGGATTTGTACGCATCGAAGTTTGCTCTTCCCTCGCCACGTGGCGAGATAGGCTGCACTGGTGCAAATGAAGGATAGGGAAAAGGATAGGAAGTGAGCTATGTACGTAACATCAAAGGTTAGGAAATGAGCCGTTGTCTCGTTTCCTATCCTTTACGAATGCTCGGGGCCCAAACCAAATGACAATTTTTGACAAGCCCACCAACCTTTCGCGTCATTTTCGGTAATCCAAAATATGTGCAGCGACGGTGCGGGACGGTGCGAATGTTAATGCGGAAACAAATGATTGAGCATGGAAAGGTCCCGGGCTGCTTGACGTCCCACTGACCTGCGCGGTCTTATGGTGGTAGAGGTAAGTCCAGGTGTTTACATAATCCGTGTCGTAAATGCATGGTATTGACCGATATATAGGTCAGGAGAACCAGGACAAGGTAGAACAAGAGACAGTAAGAGCACCTTGCATGCGTGTTAAAAGGATGTGCGTGAAGCTCATAGCTGTTAACGGGTCATAAGAGGCAATTAAAATGGCACGGTCGTTGCGCTTTCTTCTCTAAAAAATATCTAAATTTCACAAAACACGTTTTCTTTTTAATCAAACATCAGTGTACGCGTTCCTGTTTGCCTGTTCCATACATGTGTCTCTGGTAGCCGCTGAGGAAATTTTGAACACAAGATCATCGTTGTCACGGTCGTGTGTCACTAGTTAGCCGGAAAGCTGCGGCTTGCTCTGCTCACAAGGCAGCTATGTAACCTGACCCGAACCTCCGATTGAACACAACCTCACATAGACAAAAAAATCCCTTCCACCCCGTGTCCTCACGTCACCAGTAAGTGTTGAATGCAAATGGAAAATGAACAAAATGAAAAGACAGCCAAATAGAAACATCACTCTCGACCACATTACTTTTAAGCCAGTGACACCCAGCCAGCCATCCCAACCATCCCAGCGATTCAATATAATTTTCAATTAGCCGTTCTCTGAGAGACTAGGTTCGGTTGTAGGGATGACGCTCGAAAGCATGTAGGGATGACGCAATCGCTTGTCTGTTACATACTGCTCAGGCTGCTGCCATCTATTGCATGGTC